CGTGCTGTCAAACCTACACTAGCAAGGAGATCGGGCTGAAACTATAGCTACAAGCTATCCAAGGATGGTACTATAGAATGTCACCTCAAGGTAGGCCTAGTGGCGTCATCTCTTGGTTAGGCCGGAAACTTATCAATCCACCCTCGTATATAGAGCTATAAAGTAGTAAGGATATAAAGCAGAGGATATCGCAGGGTCGTGTCGCCTTTAATAAAAAGAAGTCACTTGTATGCTCACGAACGGTTAATTTAGAAATTCGAAAAAGATTGTTAAAGGTGTATGTTTGGAGCGCGGCGTTGTACGGGTGCGAAACATGGACAGTGGGTGCGGCGGTAATAAAAAGGTTAGAAGCATTCCAAATGTGGTGTTATAGGCGAATGATGAGGATAACGTGGGTAGAAACGGTTAGAAATGAAGAGGTATTGGAAAGAATAGGAGAACAGAGGACTCTATGGAAGTCAATAAAAAATAGGCGATATAGGTTGGTAGGACACCTTCTCAGGCATGAAGATCTAGTCAGAGACAGAAACAGGAGTTAGGAGGGGTAGAGGTAGACCTAGGTTAGATTATTGTTCGCAAATAGTTAAAGATATGGGTTGTTCTAGTTTTAGGGAAATGCGAAGTTTAACTCAGTATTAGAAAGAGTGGAGGTACGTGTCCAACCAGTCTTAGGATGGACGACGTTATGATGATGACTCCTATTTTTGACGTCATCTAGCAATTAGTAGAACATCGATAAGTGGCGGCAAATTTGAAAACTGCAGTGCTATATAAGTTTCCTATTATTTTTATTAAAAAAAAAAACAAAAACATATCCGTCAGGGATCATTGTAGTCGTATTGCTCATACTCAGAATGAAGCGAGTGACGCTAGGTTTAGTGGGGACTGCATATTCTTTATCTGGCTATGGAGTTGTAGTGAATCCTGTTTACTTTTATGGTTATAGAACATCGAATTTCTATGAAGTGGTTGTTAGGGGTTTGTCAAATCTGATAGCAGATTGGGCGACCCCACTAGTCACAAATTTAGTGGTTCTGAGCAGCAGCACATTTGCCGTCCACGACTTCCAAAATATTTGGTTCCCTACCTGCAGCAAATTTTTTTAATATTGGAACACTTCTCAAACTCAAGGAAAAAGTTGGAAAATTAAATTTATTTATAACTAGCGACCCGCCCTGGTTTCTCACGGGTAATCATTTTCCCCGCTAGAGAGCTTCGATAGTAGTACTTCTTTGTAGACCTTTTTAAGGTGTACAGTACTGTAGTACATTATTTTGATCTACCACGTAGGGTACAGCCAGCGTTTGAAAAGCACGCGCAAAAAAATGTGTTTATTTACAACATCACATTAGAAACTAAAATTATGAGTGTTTTTCTATTATATTATGCATGTGTTATACATATAAACCTTCCTATCGNGCCTTGGTCCAGTATTATTTAACGATGGAGAAGCTGTAAGGATTGCTAATACTACCCTCCTTCGAAATTCAAACAGTGTTATATTATCTTTACTGTTTGCAAAGCGATAAAGGTACCAGGCGTTTACAGTCATACCATCTAACAGGAAACGAAATAGTGGCCAGTACCATTTCTTTGACCTTATTTTTGATCGGTGAACTCCTCGCATTTGATCGAAACGATCAACTCCGCCCATTCCTTTATTATAGTAATTGATGACAGTTGGCTGGTCAATATTCACAGAGCCTTTCTCCTTTCTCGACCAACGTTTACAGGAACTTTTTGTTTCACATAATGTTTCATTGTCTAAATTTGTGGCCACAGTTACTTGACTATTATCATGCCAACGTGTCAATGTGATTTTGGACGTGACATCTTTTAGACTATGATGAGAACCACGCTTATGTTTTTTCAAATCCTTAAGAGGTGCTTTTTCCACCCTGTCAGACCTGATAGTACCGACCGCGAACATTCCATGCTCTGATAACGTTTGTAGTAATGGCAGAGAAGTGAAGAAGTTATCAATAAAAATAATACTGCCATCGTTTAAAAAATTTAAACATAAGTTTTCGGTTACCGAGGATCCTAAAGACTTTCCTTCACATTTATCTCCAGTTCCAGTATAAACAGAACATTTTATAAGATACCCATCGAATGTTGTAAGACACCAAAGTTTAAAACCGTATCTGATTGGTTTGCCACGGATGTATTGTTTCATACCATGCCTACCATAATATGGTTCCATGGCTTCGTCTACTGAAAAATATTTTCCTAATGGGCGGATAAGTTCTGAAGAAATTTTATTCATGTGATCAAACAATGGCCTTACTTTATAAATACGATCCTCTTTGTCAATTTCTAAGTTGTTATTGAAGTGTATAAATCGATGAATAGTTTCAAATCTATTCCTAGACATACTATTGCTTACTAGGTATTTATGTGTGTCTGGACGAGTTTCCCAGTAATTACGCCTTGATGGAACAGGACTGTACCCTGATAATAGTATTATCGCTAAATACTTGTAAATATCTTCTCGTGTAACAGAAAAGTCATGAAAACCCTTTTGGTAAGCATAGCGTGTTGTTTCTTGACAAATATAGTCAATTATTCCATCAGAGAAAAACCTTTTGAAAAAATCTATTGGTGCCCATTTCTTATCTACACCTTCTTGGACAATTAGAGGATGATTCTTCTCAAACTCACAAATCTTTTCCTTTCTTTCTACAAGGGTTACATCTTTCCATTGCCTTGTTTTCTTCTTTTTTTTATCGTTTGTCTTTATACTCTGGGATTTCAGCCTTTTCTGCTTTTCTGCTAACGTCTCTAAATCACTGTCGCTATCACTTTGTACCGTATTTTGTTCTTCAATAAACAGTTTACTTTTCCCTTCATTCCTATTCACTGCAATAATTTCCATAGCTTGCGCTAACAATCCTCTTCCTAAATCAGTAATAAGCGGCGGAAGTTCATCATCACTAGGCCCATCATCTTGATCGCTGTCCTCACCATCCACGGGAGGAAGTAGCACAAAATCTAACTGGTCAGCATTATCGAAGTCTTCGTAATACTCATCATCTGAATCCAAGTCATTTAAAACAGCTAATAACTCTTCTGCGTCTCTCTGATTTGCAGGATTATAAAGTCTGAAACATACATCACTGTTATTGCCCATCGTATGATATATCATACGTAAGAAAAAAACTTAATTTTTTCACAACAGAAACATGTTCACGCTTCAAGATAACGTTCTACATACTGCTTTATATATGATTTCTAAAATAAACCTCATCATTTATGCATACATTACTTCGAACATTCTATAAATGAAAATAAACTTACCGTTTACTCATCTTCGGCTAAGAAATCGGTATCTAAAAATTTATAGATCAATGTGATAGACAGTTTTATCAAAAAATATGCGATATTAATTTTTACCTATTGTACTTTATGTAGATAATGTTGTCCAAACACCAAACACAGCAAACAATCAAAACGATCCCGTACACGGTACCTCAAAACAACATGTGATTTGCGTATGATATATCATACGATGGGCACTTATGGGTTAACAACAATGCGGCATTATAAATCATTGAGCAGTAGTTTCTAAGCACCAAACAAGCACTCTGCACTGCAAAATGTGTACTATATTGGTAAATTGATATTATTATAGAATAGTAAAATAATATCTTTTATTTCTCTCCATTTAACGACCACTCTTTATAACGCCGAAAAATGTTCAGTCCCTTAAGTGTCGTTATATAGAGTTTACACTGTATAT